AGATTAAAAAACCTTATGCAATATTACGATTATAAAAATTAGGCATGGATCAAAAATTAAAAGTTTTTAAACTTGTTTTTATGAATCATGCTCTGATACCAGTTGAAATTTTGCTAGGGGTGGTAGGCCCCTTATGAAATAGTCCTAAGGTTAACCAAAAGGGGTGAATCGGTATTTTAAATAAAAACTTTCAGAAATCAAAACACAAACTAAAATTCACTACATAAATCAAAGTGCAGAAATTAAATGTGGAAATAATAAAGGAAAGAACACACCAGATTTATAATGGTTCGGTCAAACCTTGACCTACGTCCACTCCATAGAGGCACCCTCTGAGTATTGTACTAAACTCAGTATCTCTCCTTTAGCCCCCATAGCTAGGCCGAGAAGACCTTACAAAATCACTTCCAGCTTCCCCAATGTGACAGAGTAGCCGGGTCCTTTGACACCAAAGAGATCTTCTTCTTCTGAGAACTTTCCTTAAGACAAGCCTTGAATCTGATGGTACTAAGATGCAAGCTCGTCGGAGCAACCATGTGGAATCTCCCTCCACACTCCCTTAAAACCCCCTCAAAGGATCTTCTCCCTCTCTCAAACTCCACCCTTTCAAGTTCTCTCTTCAAGTTCCCTCTAAAAGAACAAAGCTACAATGGTTGCCAAAGACACTCTTCATGAGAAAGAAAGAGGTCTTTAAATAGATTTGCAAAACCAACATTATCATCCAGGCCGATATGAATATCGGCCTGGCCGATCAGCATAAATTTTGCTCAATCAGCCAAGTCAATTTGGGATGATTAGGTAATTTTTAAATCATATCATCCCGGTCGATCCTGTGATCGGCCCGATTGATGTGATCGCTCAATCAGCCTTAATTATTTTCCTTAAATACCAGATTAATTTAAGAAAAATTATGCTATCAGCTTGGATGATGCCTAGGATGATTTCCAAAGAAAAGTAATTCCTAAATAGATCTGGCTGCTGATTCTTTCTAAAAGTAATTCAAAAAAAAAAATAATTCCACCACCACCAGCTGATCAAGATCCATCATTTGACTAAGTCTATATTTGATGTGTTTTATATACTTTTTCCTTAATACTCCTCTTTTTGGTGATATCAAAAGGAGCAGAAGTTTGTCTATCCTTAGTATATTTTCCTGTTGCATATAATATTTTCTGTTTTAAGTTCTAACTTAAAATTAATGCATATTTCTGTTCATGTTTTTATGTTCTTTTATTTACATTAATAAAAAATGAAAAATATATTATCTTATCTATAAAAAAAATTATTAGACATCATCAAAAAAAGGGATATTATTGTATTCTATGACCCATAGTTTGAGATTTTGATGATGACAAATAATGTTAATTGAGTTATCTTATTCTTCATTAAATATTTTGAATGCTACTCTGGTCTGTGAGTACTAGCATTTCAGGGAGACCACATACTACTCAAGATAATGAAAGACTTAAGACTGGCATAATAAGATGTGAAGGAGTTTGTAACTTTATATTTTCTTTATTTTATTTTTTATTAGGTCTAGTCACAAAGCATATGCAAACTAAGTAATTATGCACACACACAAGGGGATAGTTTTTTTAAAGAAAAAAATTATTATTTTTATGTAGATCATATTATACAATTTCAAATCTTACTGTACATTACACTGTGGATCAACAATTATATTACGTGAATTAATAATACTGTACGATAGTTATCATACTATACGATTCATTTTCAACCTTAAACCCTAGCCGCCAGATTAATGTAAGAAAGTTTTTAATATTTGAATTTTGAAGTAATCATACTGCACAAATATTTAAATACTTCCTAAAATTAACCCTCACGATTAGTCAATTAAATCAAGGCCTAATTAATGATTGGTGATCATATTGTACGACCCGGTTCGTATCATACGATGAATTAAGGCTATTTTTGGTCATCCCGAAGATCGTACTAGATGAAACCTTAATATTTGAACTAATTATATGGTATGATGTATATTTTAACTGGTCGTACTGTATGAGTTGGATCGTACAAGATGATGAATAGAGATGAATTTTGGTCATCCCAACATTCATCTTGTACGAACAGAAGAAATATAGTATATCATACTTGACGATATTCATATCGTACTGTACAATATATTAGATAATTATTGCATGTTCATACTCCTTCGTACCAAAATAAAAGCTATTTTGAATTAGTGAGAGGAACTTGACAAAGAAAGGGAACTCTTGAGAGGGAGCTTCTTGAAGGGATTTATGGCTTATGAGAGGAAGGAGAAGGTGAGTTTGTGAGGGAGAAGGAGTGTGAGAGGATCACACGGTTGCTCTAAAACTGCTGCACAGTTGCTCCTGTTGTGGCCCGGGTAAGTCTTATGGGAGCTCTCTGAGGGGAGAGCCTTCAAGGTCAATGTACTCAAAGGTCCTCTGCCTTCTCTAGAAGAGAGCAAAATGAGAAGGTTCGCTGCTATCACTAAGAGGGTGACACAGCGTCCAACACTCTGCCACACCGAGGAAGGTGAAAGTGAGTTTGTGTAAAGGTTTCTCCTCTTTGCTGTGAGAGCAGAAGGATAATTACTTCTGAGTAGTACAAATTCTGGAGTGGAGGACTCAGGGGAGTGGATGTAGGTCAAGTGATCGAACCGCTATAAAACTTCCGGTGTGCTTTTTCCATTTACCGCATTTTATATTTCTTGCATTTAACATTACTATAACTGTTTAGTGAGAATTTGATTTTAGTGTTTCGTTGTGCGATTTAAAATTCCATCACCACTACTATAATCATCTTTTAATCACTAGCGCCCGCTTCTAATTAGTTAAGTCATCTTTTGAAATTAAAAAATAGAACTCCTATTTATGATTTAATTTTTACAAAAAATACTAATTCACCCCCTTCTTGGCGCATCTCATACTTTCAAATTCTAAACCTATTTTTCTTTTCTTCTAAAATATTTGAGATTTTCAATTTTAGGACATTTTTTGAAATATAATTTCTTTTAGAATACCTTAACAAATATTATTCCTAATAACTCTAGAAATATTTTAAAGGGTAAAAATTATAATTTTTCATAATTTTATATTTTTTCTAATTTTTAATTAAAGAAAAATTAAAAATAATCATGCCCTAATTATTAATTAGATAAAAGGGATGTTTTAGCATTAATATATGATGAAAGTAATGGAAATTAGGTTTCCAAATTTGAGATTCATATTGCAAAACCAAAAATTAAAGTTACTTAAAATTAAATTAGGAAATTATAAAATGTTAAAAAGGGTTAATTTTGGGATTAGAACAAAATTTGGATTTTTAAAATTTAGGGTTTATTTAAAATCCAAAATTAATAATATTAAAATGCTAAGTTAATGAAATTGAATTATGGTTATTATTGGACAAAAGAAATTTTGATGAATTAGAGCTCTTCTATGTTAAAGTAAATTATATTATCATTTTAAGAAGAATATGTATCATTGATGTTGCTTTATAATTGAGAAATGAAAGTTGAAGGTTTAAGATCTTTTAATGTTATTTGAAGAGGGGATAATTTTTAAAATTAAGTTGAGACGAGTATTAAAATTTTCAGCAAAGCTTGAGGTTTAGAAAATATTAAAGCTTGGAAACATTCAATGTGAGTACTTATGTCTTTAAGATTTAATAATGATTTTGTTCTTTCTTAAATTAAATGCATTAAAAGAAACTAACATCTGCTTCTTACTCATTAAGTATTTATTGCAAATTAGATTATGATCTATCTTTTTCATACTTAATGATTGATCATGCTAAATGAAATTATATGATATAGTATGCTTGAATGTGCATGTTGATTGATGGATCACACCACCTTATGATACTGGCTAGGGATGCAATGTACTCGTGCACATTAAAAGGAAAAGGTTATGGAAAAGAATGAAAAAGAAATAAAAAAATAAGTACCTTCATTGGTACTAAATTAGATGGTGGATCGTGTAACAATTATATTATTTATGAGAAATGATAAAGATATAAATACAAATATGATATATATGACAAGTATGATTTATGCATAGCATTGAAAGTCATGAAATAAAAAAAAGTATACATATTATTTCAATTGTCTTGAGTTACTGTAGCTTAGAAGCATGTTTTACTCACTGAGCTGTGGCTTACTGTTAGTTGCTATAATATTTTTTTAAGTAAGTTTAATGTAAAAGCAAAATGAGTAGAAGATGTGATAATGTGTATCGTAGACGTGACCGAATGAAAGGTATTTGAAAGATTTTGTCACAGTTTTTTTAAGTTTTAGTGTCTTTTTAAAAGTTTATTGAGATAGTTTTAGATGAATTGAAAATTTTAAATTTTTTGTCCGACTCTCTTTTCCCACCTCGTTAATTCGAGCCGGATCGTGACACTAAGTCATTAGGTTTCCCTCTATAGTTCCTAAAGGTCAAGTCTACACTATGATTAGAGTATCTAAGCACTAAGGATAAAAGGGAAGGGACTTAGATCACATTAAAAAATGAGGTGAATAACCCCCTCGCCCAAAAGCAAGAGAACTTTACCCCATGCTCACTAACGAAGAGGAGAAGTTCTAAAGAAAATGAACACAAAGTTGTTAATGATAACACTACATTACCTTGGCTACCATGATATTTATATCAATATTTAATGTGAATATTTTGCTTGTTATTTTAGTAAAAAATTTTGTAGCGTTCAACCTACTATAACATATTTTCCCTCATGTTCATGTTGAGTGCAACTATTCATGGGAGGTTAGGCAACTAGGTAGGGTATCCTTGCTATGAGATTTATTATTATGTGCGGATTTCGAATGTGTCTGAAGACCAATAAAAATATGTCATGTCATCTCAAACATGTACCGTGCTCGATATCAAACTCGATACCGAACGGTTCTCCCATCTGTTGTCCGCACAGAATAATCTTTCCTGCTATGGGGCCTACTAATGTTGTGATGGGAGAAGTGGTCAGCCCCAAAAAGATAAGGATCGATGTGGTGCCTACTCGCCCTAGAGTTCTTGCAATGAAATCAGCCGTCCCAAAAAAGAGTATATTTATGCTCCCTTTGAACCCTTTAAAACAGAGAAACCTAATTGTTGCTGCCAAGGCGATCATCCTTCTTTGGCGGGAAACAGTCTTCCTTGGAAAGCCCAATGCTCCGAACAATCATTTTTGTTATTCATGCCTGATTGGTCAATTGTATTTGTGCTGAGTGCTATTGTTGCCCGAGAGCATCCCGTGATCTTTAATGCTCCATGGCCGGGAGAGCCTCATAAGGCTCATCGGTAAGCGCCGCCGGGCCTACTCTTCTCTGCTCGCTCGCAGCTTACGCTCTAAGGCAAACCAGCAGATCTCACCACTTTTCCATCTTTGTTTACCTTGATCCCTTTCTTAAGATCTTATTTAATTTGCAGGATGGTTCTGATTATGGAGATGCGATGTGCGTTAACTCTGAGGACGATCCGGTAACCAATGATGGTGTTGAAGTTGGAAATACCAGGAAGCGAGGAAGTGAGGCCTGTGTTGAGTGGGTCTGCTGCCCGGTATGCGCTGTCTCGGTACGAGGAGATGATTTTACGGTTAATTCTCATCTTGGTATGTTTGGCTTCTTGCGTGCTAGTCTTCCTAACATATCACAATACTCTGATCTTACGCCATTCGGGTCAACCCGATCCGTTTCTTGAAATGGATCATTTATTCTTACCCGGACCAATCCAGCTCGAACTGTTTGACCCGACTGCACAGTAAAATCCGGTTTTAAAAGCTGCAAACCATGGGAAAAATTTTAAAATGCAAAACATAAGCAATTTAAATTATGAATCGGTCAAGACATCATTAGAAATCCTTTATATGTTACAATTACAAAGTTACAATCTCACATATCAAATATCAATTGCTAATTATCTCATTTATAAATGAAAAATTACTTATAAATTATTTACAAATCAATTGCTCATTATTCATTTACAAAAAATTTGTAAACTGGCAAAATTTTACAACAAATGTGAATATAGAAGCTTCAATTGCTCGGACTCGACTATTGCAAGAGTGTCTGAATCTGTCTTCAATCACCTAATGACATATAGATTAAACTGCAATAAAATTAGTTAAGCAAGTATAAAATTTTAAGTATTTATTATATAATACATTGCTCAGATTAAACTCTTCAAATCATTAATCATATAATGTGGTGTAAGTTTAATAAATGTTAGCATATTACCATCCAAGGAAACAATTTGTATTAACGTAGTATCTGTTCATTTAATTAGATAGTATATGCTCAGTTTAAGTAAATATAAATAGCACCTGATTGTAATAACACATTAGTACTTACACTAATATTCCCACATTCATTTTAGAAGGTCTATCATCCTCGCTTATTCGCTTCATATTTAAAATAAAAATATATGAAATAATGAATTTTGAGAGCAGGTTTCGCCGTTTGTGCAAAACAACAAATAATAAACTAGCAGGAATGCAACCATGTAGGAGACTGATCCAAATTCAGCAAAACAGGAAAAATTATATAGGAAACCAACAGGTGTCACAAATATTAGCAGGTTTGATATAAAATCCAAAATACCAATATTGATCTAAAATCCAAATCAGCAGGTTTTAGCAAATAAGAAACAACAATACAACATCTATGTTCCAAAGTCCAAATTCCAAAACAGGAAGCCGAATGGGATTACAGAAATAAAATAAAAAGCTGGGATTAAATACTATTGTCTAAGGGAAACCTAACTCACAAGCAGATTTAGCAATTAAAACAGTATTACACTTAAAAATAGCCATACTACCATAGTACCATAGGTCCATAGTTCATGAAATAAGAGTAAGACACATAATAGTTCAGGATTTATTGTCAATGGTAGAAATTTATAACTATAAATTATTTAATAGCAGAACTTTCTCTAGCTTCTACTTCAACTCGATTTACTGTTAAAGCAAGGATATCTTCGGTCACAGCTTCAAGTTCAGGGTCATGCAAAACTGCAACAAATAAAAATAGAAATTTATAACCATAAATATTAATTAATGTAATCCTATAAGATATTGAATAAAGTTAAAGTTGAAATTACACCCTTGTCACCATACAACCAATCCTTTGCATAAACCAAAGCCTCAATAATATCAGGTTTCAGTGCACTTCGATACTGATCTAGGATTCAACAATTATTGCTAAATGCAATTTTCGAGGCCACTGTTTTTACAAAAGTGCTTGAACACCCAACCATTCAACACATTGGAAGAGCAAATCATGCATAATTATGCAAGCAGTAAATAAATCACAAAATTTTGTCGAGCCAAACTTATAATCAATTATAGAAATAGATGAATTTGAGGTGGTTCACAATATGAGCTATCTATGTCATGTATATCTCTTCTCTTGCAATTTTGCAAATGCCTCCTTAAGTTACTAGTCCCATTTTTACTCTCACACAAGTATTGCGCATCACATTTTTTAGATTTATACCATTGCTTACCATCTGTAGGATTAGATAACATCTCAAAATGTCTCCAAACCTTGGAAGTCATCCTCCTATGCTTCTTAATTATGATTGAACCATCATTACATGCATCATCAGATGGCTCTACTACATTATCTTCAATGCGAAGTTCCTTATTCTTATCAATAAAAAGTTTAGAAAATGTGTTTGAATCCTCCATCTAATGAACCAATTAATCATTTAATCCATATTATACAAAGAAAAAAGCTAATAGCCAATTAATCATAAATAATTCAATATGAAAGAGCTAAAGAACATCCTAAGTTATTAAATTTCAAAGATATACACAAAATAACACTTGTTGCAGGATACATGCATTACAAACTTTCAATACTTCTTACTTAGTAGACAATAATTAATAATGTAACAATGTAAGTATGTAACAGATAATCAAAGTCTAGAGACAAAGAATGGCAACAGGCAGCACCGCAATAGCCAATAAGCCAACAATAGTTAAACCCTATAACATGGAATCATAGGTTGTCAACAATAGGGAATCAAGAAGTTTATATCTGCACCCTAAGGTTCCTAACCGATAGGACAAACTGATGTGGAACCACATGCGGTGAACATGAATTGCACGTTAGAGATTAATGAGAGTTTAACTTTGCAATGTTAACGAACTACCCATAAGGGCAAAAACAGAAAAACATAAAAATCAAATAAAATACTACATAAAATGATGAAAATAAAGGTCATGATCGTGGCCGTCGATCTCCGGCATCTCCTGATGGTACATGTGTTGCAATCTCTGACGATGTCCCCATCACAAACTACCCAAACAATTGTTCAACACTTCAACATGAGGTAGTTTATTACTTTATTTCAGTTAGAGCTACATCCTTCAACAATATTACAGGCTTATAGCATGCTTAAATGGCCAAATAACCCAAAAATATACAAACCCCTATCAAATCTAACGAAAAAAATCGTAAAATGTTATATCCTAATCGGCATATCAAAAGCATAAGTGCGTAACAGCTTTAAATTGAAAGGAATAACTGAAAAATGATCGAACTTGAACGAAGATAACTCTAAACGGAAAATAAGTCATTAGCACAACAAATAAAAAAAAAACATGAAATGGCGAGGAGGAGAAAAGCTTCGGGATTGAAGGAGATTTAAGATATGCTAATAGAGGAATCGAGGAGATGACGACACCAACGTGGCAACGAGGAGAAAAGCTCCGGGAAGGAGGCAGGAAGCATCGCGAGAGCGAGATCAGTCGAGAACACCCTAGACTCGACGGTCGAAGAGGAGAAGAGACGAAGAATTGAAAAGTCGAAATGCAGAATGCCCGAAATGCCCTGTTCAGTGGTTCAACACAGCCCTAAATTCCTAAGATGCGTGGGACAACGTGTGCCAGAATTTAAAACGTGTTGGAAAATGTAACCCGAACCTGACCCGTTTTAAAATGGGGTTGACTCGAACCCCAAAAGCTCTAGTCGTGTTCGAGTCGGGTTTTCGTGTCGTGTCTATTATTGACAGTCCTAGCTTTTTGTATTTTTTGGAGCCCCAGCACAGCTGTCCGGAGGGCATTTCATCCTATTTTGACAAGGCTTAAGTTGCTAGAAGAACACAGTAGTTAAGACCAAGTGAAGCCGTTTTGTATTACAAAGAAACAAAATATTAATGTATTTAAGTGATAAGCACAAATATATAATCATACAATGTATAAAAGGAATTTTTATTAAAGCAATATAAATGCTAACAATCTAAAATCAATGAAAAATAATCATTTGACTAATAAGAAATGGCAATTATGGGGAGAGAAAAACCTCATCGAAGCTCTGTTCTCCATTTTGTAATCCCTCTCTGTTTATGGCTTTATGACAGCCGATTCGCCTTCTATAGCTTTTACTCTCTCCCCCCTCTCTCTCTTGAATTGACCCTTGTTAATATTTTATGATTATGGAGAGAAGGTAAGAATCTAGTATAGAGAGAACTGTAGAGGTAAAGAGAAGTAGAACGTCAATAAATTAGCGGAATGAATGCCTTATAAGTAGACAGACACAAAGAAGATGGGAAGGCAACATAAAGAAAATTTAGAAGGGAGTATGAATACCTACAGGGGAAGCCTAAAGAAATCTTTATTTCATCACGAACTTTAAGTTTATTGAACAACAAGACTATGGCCTTATTTATAGAAATAAGCTTTATTGATGATAAAATTACCCTAAACAAATGAAAAAATATCATTCAGTCCTACATTTAAACCACTGGCAATTAACTTAAAATAGAAAAATAAGATCTACAAATTTAGGACTGTGATAGACGTGTAATGCATCAATCTATATTATGCAAATCATAGTCAAACTTTCTTTCATTACGAATCTCTTGCTAATTTACTTCATACTTTAGACTTTCTTTCATTGCTCGATTGGAAATTAATGGTTGCTGCTTTGTTGCCTGCTGTATGTTTATGGTTTCAGCAATGTTTTTCAGATGCATGCCTTGCAAATGGGAAAAAAAAGAAGTTGAGTCAACGCACTCTTTTGCAAGTAAACTTCCTTTCGAAGTCAAGACAAGAAACATGCTTGATTGAAGCAAACAGTCCTAATATGGATAAATGTGAAAAAGAACTTTCTGAGGAGAAACAACTTGGTAAATTTCATCACTCTAATTTTCTTATGTTGCGTGGAAGCTGTGAAAAATGTGAATCAGAATCTTTAAATCAACCTTCTTTATACAACTCAGAATTTGGCAGTCAGACTTCCATTCTAGAAGTACTGGATGAAGATGCTGTTAAAAGAAAGGCAGCAGATCCACATATTCCATCAACATTCCCTTCAATTATCAGGTCACCTAGGAGTGATTCATGTGAAGATGTAGATACTAAATATGTTCATACTCTTGAGACTTTAATAGTAGGCCGAAGGTTTCATAAAAAAATTGAGTTGCAACCTGGTGGAAGAGTTTATGTCGTAAGAGAGTGCCAAAATGTTAAGGATGATAATGCTATACAGGTTGGGTTTTACGTTTTGGCATAAAACTTTCATACTGTGAAGTAATGGACTTATTTTCTTTGCCCAGGTGTTAAGTGACCATCAAGGATTCAGATGTTCTCTTGGATATTTACCACGAAAGCTGGCTAAGTATTTGTCTCCTCTAATTGATTATCATCATCTAAAATGTGAGGTAAAGCAACTTCTAGATTTTTTTTTTTTTTTGTGAAGTTGGGATAAAGCTATCGTTGGTGATGATGATTTTGTGATGTTCAAAATATGCAATTGTTTTTTTGCAATTAGTTAGATCACTTGGAACCGCCCATCCCAATATGGGGCATGCTTTTATAAGCTTCATTAGAATGTTTTGTGAAGGAAATATTTATTATTATTATTTTACTTCTTTGAACTATTAGTTTTTTTATATCTGGTCTCATGTATGTTGCACAGGAAATTTTGTAATCTAGTTTAGAAACATTTTGAATTGGATTACTTTATAGACTATACAGCTTATTAAGCATATATAATAGAAAAAACGATAAGATTTGTTGGTTTTGATGCAGTAAGGTGATGAAGGATGCTATGATACCAAAATTGATGAAGGGGATAAGAAGAAAGAAACTCCACTTGAACAACTGGAAGGATTCTTGGATTTATAGAGAGCATTCGATTGGCTTTAGTAACTAATTTTATTCATCAAATTCAATCAAGAATACAAAAAACACCATTTAGAAGAATGAGGTTAAATAATTTATAAATCAAAATGAATCCTATTTAAAATTAAATATAATCGAAATAATTAGATCTAAATGTAAATTTATCCAGAAGGGTAGCTAAACCTAATAAAATAAATAAAAAAGCAAAAAAAAAAAGAAAAAAAAAGGGCTTAGTTCTTAGAACTGGCCTTTCTACTTCTTTTATGGTTTGAATCCTTTTAGTTGACTTATGAAAAATTCAGCTTTTGTGGGCTGATTTGGTTGAATAATCAATCAATTTGTATGCATAAAGTCACCTAGCTCTCAAAGAGTTTCTTGAAGAGGTTGCAGAATGCGACTACAATGAAGAATGTGGCACCGCAAGATCATTTGATGGAAAAGGTGATGATGCAATATGAGGAGCAAGAAGAGGAAGAAGTCTAGTGATCAAATGAAGATTTGGAGGCTTGTGTGTTGGGTGGCTCCAAACCTTATACACTTTTGAGGTCACTGCGACAACCAACAGACTAGGTGCTGGTGATTGTGACGGTAGTGAAACTAAATCTCTAGTAGGTGTGGTGAATTAAATTTTAATAATCTAAAATAGTTTACATCTCCTAAGATAGTGACAAGCAAACAGAGCAACAATCGCTACAAGAAATTCGAGAGCATGCTATGATACATAAAAATTTCATAGAAAATATTGTCTCATTCTTAAAATCATTCTCAAACCTAGACATTTCATTAAACATAGACTCTAGCTCAACTTTAAATTAACTCAATTACTGGTAAACTGTTATTGTCCTCAAGATCTACTTCATCATCAAAAAGATGTGTGCCATCATAAATATACTTTTAAGGACCATCATAAAAAAATTCATTGTATATAAGAGGTTTATCATCATTAATATATTTGAAGGACTATCATCATAAAGTTTTGGCACATATTTTTTAATTGGAAAAGTTTCTAAATTTTGCGGGAACAAAGGAGCATACATGACCCGTGCATTGCATAAGATTGAAGGAAAATATTTTCATTGTCAAGGATGTGGGATCTATGATTTCTTATAGAGAAAGCTGTTAGTAAATGAGTGATTAATGTCGTTGAAAGGTGCAGAAGTGTCAATTTGGGTTATGAGGTCGAGTTTGACCCAAAAAAATGACTTAACCTAAATGGAGTTAACTTGAACTTGATCTAACACGAGAGCACTTGGGTTGGCATCAACTTAGTGCTAACCTGACATGAATTGGACATGATGATCTGGTTTGTATGTCCCAACTCGAAAAATCACAAAAAGTTTCTATTAGATGTGGATTTTTATTTGAAAAAATATTAAAAAGTAAGAACTCAATTATCTAATGGGTTAAGTTCAGGATTTTTTTTTTGAAAATGCAAATATCATTAAAGGAAAAAGAACCCTAATACATTCTACTAAGTGATAGAAAGCCTATCACAATCCTCTAACAAAGAAAAAAAAAAGGAGGAACCTTATTACAACTTAAATCTTCCAAAAAAAATCACCAAATAAAGCAAAGTTAGCACAAAAATCGGCTGACTTATTACAATTTCTATTAGCAAACTGAAATAAAAAATTCCCAAAATCCTTTAGGCAAGACAAGTCTTCCACCTCGCCATTATCTGAAGTGCAAACAACTTTGCGAATCATGTCTTGCAAATACTTGATGATATTATAATATCTCCCTCATTTATGATACCTTTTGCTTTCAACATCCATTCTTGGATAATCTTTCTCAGTGAACGAAAAGCGAGCAGTTCCAAGTGGCCGCTATCCCAATGCATACACCTGAATCCAAAAACAAGAAGAAATCTCCCTCTGTGATCTCTAAACACACCATCAACACTAGCTTCATTTGATCTCAATAAAGTTGCATCAATGTTGACTTTAATCCATTCATGTGGAGGGGGGTGTCAAGAATGAGAAATCAGCTGAGGAAGCTGGTTAACACCTCAGTGATCCGAAAAAAGATTAAACTTCGACGAGATTGACGCAAAGCTAATTGCGTTTGAAGCAATGAAGCCCAAGCCAAGCTCACGACCATCATGCACAACTTGGTTTCTACTTTTCCCCAAAAAAAATAAAACTAAAGAATAATACAGGTTTGCAATGAAAAGATTAACCTTTAATAACATCTCCAATTTAACCTTGCAATCCAGGATTTAAGAGAACTCAGGAATAGGAATACCCCATTTATTCCGCAATGCTATAGCTTGAGTAAGCTTGGAACATTTAACTACAACGTGCTCTGTATTTTCCACTACTATACACCCTCTTGGACAATAATTGTAGTTCAGCAATCTTCTGTACATAAAAAAATGCATAGTAGGTATCACATCCTTCAACAGATGCCACCGAAAACAATCTACCAGAGGGGGAAGTTTCATGCTCTTCAACCACTTCCAATAATTCATATTATCTGATTCATTCCCAGTCAAATTCAATGCCATAGTAGCTATGATTTTTCCAGAAAAGTTATTGATAAGCTCCAATTTATCATTAAAAAGTTTTGGATAAATTTTAATTTGAAAAATGATATCATTCAATGACTTTCAAAAATATTTAAGCAACTCCGCCATGTTCCAGTTCCCATCAGCAATAAATTTATCCATAGTAGGAAAGTCTCTATCTAACACAGCAATAAAAGTCGGCCATTTATCAAAGCTTTTATCTAAAACCCATATATCCTTTAAGATATTAATAGAGTTACCTGAAGCTATCCTCCATTTCACAATTGGCCGGAGAGCCTTCACACCACTCAGCAAGATCTTCCAGGTGATAGAGGTGTTTTTTCTGGACTCAGCCAACCGAATGTCCATTCCATACCTAGCATATAGAGACTTACTAAGATTAGAACCTGGATTATTGAGAAAATTCCAAGCAAATTTTGCTCTCAAAGATCCCACTATGAAAACAGAAGAGTGAATTCCTTGGCCTCCAGCATTCACTGGTTTGCAAAGATCCTCCCAATCAATATAATGTAAGCCACAGTTACCCTCTTTTTTATTCCATAAAATATTTCTACACATCTTATCAAATTCTCTCAAGATGCTCAAAGGAACTAAGGAATGGGTAGAGTAGAACACTAGGATGGATAGAATCACCGATTTAACAAGCACCAACCTCCGCGCTAAAGAGATGAACTTGTTACCCCACACATCCAATTTTGAAGTAGATCTTTCCAATAGATTGAACAAGTCAGAAGAAACCAATCTCCTCAAAGCCATTTTGATACCCAAGTAATGCATCTCCTTCACCTCCTTAAAACCCAATAAACTAGAAATGGCTTTCCTCTTATTCCGATTAAATGATTTCCTAAATAAAATAGACAATTTCTGAATGTTAACCTTCTGTCCTTTCCAACTGCAATAATCAGAAATTAATTTTTTAATTTTCTTCAAATACTTGAGCTTGGCTTCCAAAAACATAAGAATGTCATCAGCAAATACTAGATGAGAAATCTTAGGGGCAGCAAATGCAGTTTTGATGCCCAAATTTCTCCCTTTGATTAGAAAAGTGTTAGACAAAAGCTGAGAGTATAGAATAAACAAGGAGATAACGAACAACTTTGTTTAAATCCACTTATTGCCTCGATCTATTTAAAACTATTCCCATTAACTTGAATCGAAAATAAAGGGTCTACCACAATCCATCAGAAGGTTATAAAATTTAATTGGAAATCCAAAATACTCCAAAACTTGCCTTAGAGTATCCCAAGCCATACTATCTTAAGCCTGTTCCATGTCAAGTTTAATTGCCACCAATCCTTTTTTAGACATAGAAAATCTAAATTTGTAGAAGAGTTCTTGAGCAAGAAGAATATGGTCCCATAAAGTCATTCCTTTGGTAAAAGCCACTTGAACATCAGAAATCAAATAGTGAATAACCTTCAACAATCTATTCAATAAGATATTGGCAACGATCTTATAGATTCACAGGCAAAGACTAATAGGACGAAAGTTAGAAGGAATTAAAGGATTACTGACTTTAGGTATAAGAACTACAAGAGTCTGCTTCCACTTAGAACACATCTTACCAATCACCTTCCAATAAGTTTTAATAAATGAATAAGAAGTTAAGCTCAGGTTTATCGAGTTGAGCTAGACTAAAAAAATGAACCATTTTTTTTGGGTCTCTTTAGCCAATTCAAACTAAACTCTAATGTCCTAATCCTATGTGGTGGTTGATCCAAACAGAAATTTTCATATTGATTGTAAATTAGGTTTTCATGTTGGATCTAATATTGAAATTACTAGGGCAATATAAGTAATGTCTTACACAATGGGTAAGATGTACGCATAATGCATGTGTGTGCACAATCCTTTTGTGAAAAGTGGAGCTACTGTGAAACTTGTGTAGGAAGGCAAAATATGCAATCCGTCGTTAACACAAATCCATTGTTTGGGACATGTACTACAATGTGACGGGTGGAAATGTTCAAGCAATTCTTGTGGTTTGCATGCGAGTGGATGCGATTTTGT